TCTTCTCAAAATCAATCAGATTGATAAATCACAACTTCTCAGAGAGTGAATGAAATTTCTATTGTAGAGACATCACTTAACAGTACAGCTGAATCAATGGGAATTTGTGTTGACCTGTATTATATATCCAGTGTATTCAGTTGGGATTTCGGAACAGTTTCATTAAAAGCAAATCAGTGAAATTATCTTTTTAATATAATTACGAATGTATAATCTTCATGAAAAACTTTGTTTTTGACAAAACAAACACAACTGCCGAACACAGTCACAAATGAATCACATCTGATATGATCATTCAGAACAGTTTCAATATTCACGAGAATATATTATTCGGTGGAACATCTGATTGATTTTGAGAAGACGAGTATTGAGGATGGCCGAGCTTAAGCATACACGGAGAAAGTGCTGGAGAATTTAGCATCTCAATCCTTGTGCAACCATCATAAATACACCAAATGAACCACCCGACTGAGCGGCGATTTTGCCGACCTGTTGTAACATTTCTCGGCCTCGTAAACCCATCCTGAAGTTTCAACGGATTATTTTAAGTCTATCGTATTACATACGATAGACCAAATTATTGCAGAACATGGAACTGATTTATTAAGGATGATCCTCCATCATAAGTGTATAAAGCAAATGTGCAGATAATTATCATTTGGAACAATGTTTAAACAACGACGGAGTGGATAACTTTGGCAGGCATTATCAAGAAGGCTATGATAAGAACCTATGGAAAGTGAATGACTTTGCCTTTCATTATTCCTAAACTGTCAGTGTATTTCATCACCAAACGAATGTTTACCTGAATGCAGCAAATGAACCCAGCAACACACCAGTAGCTCCACCAATAACGGCACCCATCATGAAGCCGAGTTTCAGTTTTGTCCAACAACTGGGCTGATGTCCACCACCGACAACTTGGTATCCTTGAGGTACGGCCATTTCTGCAGGGAAATTTGTATGAACAGTTGCATAATCATAATGACGATGATAACGTAATGGACATTTCATGACTGATTCATGAATACATCGCAAGGACAACATTAATCTGCTTACGATTAGATGGGTAATCCGATCCGCGACAGAATAAATGTTGGAAGCTTTCAAAACAGAAACAATAATGAGGAGCATTGTAAGATGTTAAATGTTACAACAAACAATGGGAAACAACTTGGTGCAAACCGTGAAAACAACTACGGNTATTAGGAGATGTGAAATAAAGATTTATGAAACGTTGAAATATAGGAGAAAAATCTTGTGCCTGAAACAAGGACACCAATGGAGTACATAAAGTCATAAAGTTGGATATGAGTGATAAGAAATGATATTTTTACCTACAAAACTTCTCAGTAGTCAAATTTTGGGAGGCGTGGAACAAAATCAACGACTATATATATATCTATGACTTTCAGCAAAAAGTTACTTGGGAAGTACAAAATAAAACTTCTATAATAACACGATTAAGGTTTCAATTACGAAACGTGCATTTTACATCTTATTTACGATTTCATATTATGAACTTATGTACTTTGTAAATTTACATCACTTGTTTTGCAAAGTTCGGCAATTCGCTTAAAAACGGTATCACACAGTTTGCCAACTACAGACACAGTGACAGTTCGCCAAGTGATGGAACTCGCGTTTTCGTTGAGAGGTGTTCAAAGATGTGAATTTCTTACTCAATGAAGGGAACAAATCCGGACATTCTACATAGTATTTTCTAGCAGAGAACGAGGAGAATAAAATATGATATACGGAGTGCGATTATTATTGTTACTTGGACATCGGTTGTTATTTTGTTAATCGCTGTGAGCGATCGGCGGAATATTTATTTAATTAGAGGTATGATTATTTATTGGATTGATGTTTGGCTACGATTAATTATGCAAAGTATTTG